GCCAAAAAACACAAAGTCTGCAATGAAAGTGCAATCACCATCACTGGAACACAGTGCCAGAACTCTTCCTCTTCCCAAAAATGGTTCCAAGGTGGTCCAGACTGCTCCCAAACTGAATAATGACACAAAACATGTCGCAAATGGGTTTTCTGGACTCAGACCTCGGAGCAGTACCGACAGCTTTCTCAGGCACACTCAGAGATTTTTAAGGCCAGGTCCTGGTTCTGGTTCTGGTTCTCGAACCACTTCTCCCTCTCAAAAGAAAACACCAGCAGGTCGCTCACACTCCAGTGACGGCCTGGGCTCAGTGTCTGCCGTTCGTCTGACTGAAAAAGATCGCATTAGTTCTCGTAGCCTCACCCAGGTACAAAAACAGCCCTCGCCTGTCTTCACGGTCACTGCCCTTCCGTGCTCCATCCAGGCCCCGCCCAAAGGTGGTAAAAAGTCCCCTGTAACCAGGCAGGTGTCAGGGGGTGGGCTCAAAGCTACAGGGAGGTCAGGTTTGCCCCCATCTGCCTTAAAGAAGCCCCTCTCACCTGCGCTTGGCCCCGCTTCTAAGCCCAGCGGTATCAGCTACAAACTGTCACGTCCTATGCTGTTAAAGCAGGCACGCCCCCTACGGGTGATGTCTGCTACTGCATCAGAGCTCAATTCAGTCAAGATAAGTTCTCCAACAGAAAACAGCCGAGGTATGAGTTTGTTCTCTGTGTAAAAATGACCAGCGGATTCTTGAACCATTACTTAAATACCTACCCCTCACAGAAACTCCTGCTGAGTCTCCAGAGAAAGATGTCCTGTCCTCAGAGCCTGTGTCCATCGTTGGGGAGACACTGGAGGACATGTCCTTGTCCTCCACCTCGTCTCTGGACAGAAATGACACCAGTCAGGAGTACATGGATGACTTTGACAACCTGGGTAAATAACAGTCAGCTCTTTTACTGGTCACTCAGATCTATGTCCATCATCCAGCCTTTGTTTGTCTTTGTCTGCAGGAGTTGAAATTTTACTCTTCTCTCCCAAAAATGATGAAGATGACTCAGGACTTGACCAATCGTGTGCCAGGTTTGATGATGACAAGACCAGTGTTAACGGTGTCACAGAGGCATCGGGTCTGTGTTTTCTGGAGGATGGTGTGGACTGGGCTGGTCTGAAGTTAAAGAGTGAGTCATGTGACCAGAGCACAGAGCAGAGACAATGACAGAGTAAAATCAAAACCCAGATGAAATGATTTTCTTTGTCTGCAGGTGACGACACGCAGCGTCATGTAAGTCTACTGTCACACCAGAGAAAGATGAGTCAGACGGATTATCACGAGCAGGTACCGTGACTGAAAAGAAGGAAATCAAGGACTGAAAATAAAATAAAACAATTTAACTAGTCAACTGATTGGAAATTGTCCTCACATTCCCAACATACAAACGAGAAAATCTCCAATCTTTTTTTTTTTTTTCTTTTTTTTATTTCAGGGTGGTTCCTCTCTGGACCTGTCCCCCTCCGACTCCTGCGGCTCTGCAGGAACCTACATGTGGGACGAGGAGGATCTGGAGCCACTGGGGGGCGCCAACTCCGCTTCCATCAACTGTAACAGCCAACATATTGAGGACTTTGACTCTGAGGTAAACAGTTCTGTAAATGTCAGTGTGTTCGGAAACTGATAAAAAGAAAAAGCTTTGAAGATTAAAGATTGAAACTTTTTTTTAAATGATGTTTGTAGTGACGTTATGCTGGTTAAAATCCCAATAAGAGCCTCCCTGTAGAAAGTGTTCAGGTATTATCCTCAGAAAGCCTCTGGAGACAGAGGTCACAGAAGTCCGTTCACTCAGACATCACGAGTCTAACCAGTCACATGTTGAAGAGCGCGACTCCAAATTAAGGCCTCTGTCTCCCTCCAGTGTTTGTACTGTGTCTTACAGCAGCTTTTCTAAGCACTGCAGTTTCTATATTCCCTTTCCCTTTAGTTCCTATTTAGCTTCTGTGTAGACATCCATCTGATACTCACAAATATATATTTGTCTCTGTCTGTGTTTCAGGACATCTTGAAAGACCTGGACACCTGTGATCTGGAGGACGATGACCTCATGCTGGACACAGACTTTACAGAAGACGCCTCTGTTCTCAGTGGTACTGAGTTCACACACACACACACACACACACACACTAACACACACTCATTATAGCATTAAATGTCTTCTCTGGATCTTTTTCCTTGATCTGTCATCTGCAGACAGAGATGGAATGTCCCACATGGCTGAGTGGAGGAGGAGACAGCTCTGCTGGGGGACAAATGATGTCCAGAATGAAGATGGGTAAGACACGTCCTCTGCTGAACATGAGTGTTCACAAAGACCGTAGTCACACGGGTGTCTTCTCTGTCCTCTCAGTGACTTCACCTGCTACAAACTCACCGAGGATCCAGGAAACAAGAGGACAGATATATGTCGGGATGGTGACATCATTCTTGACCTTTGTCCTTCAAGGTCTTTTATCACCAGATCATCTTCTGGGTGAGAGATTATCCTCCTATACCAGATTTAAAAAGTTGATGTGACTGTAACAGCAGGGATGCAGTATGAATACTCAGTATTTGTTTTCTCCTTCTTTGCCCTCTGCTCAGGACTCTGCTGTCATCGTTCATAGCGCCTCCCGCTGTTCTGGGTGTAGATGTGGAGGAACTGGCTGATGACTGCTCTGCAGTGCGATCACAGCTGGAGTTTCTGCAGATGTTACTGCTGCAGGTGAGGAGGAAACGGCAGCACCACCGCAACCGCATCACTACTAAATCACCACCACATCACTACTGCATCCCCACCACATCACAACTACATCCCTACTGCATCACTACTGCATCCCCACCACATCACAACTACATCCCTACTGCATCACTACTACATCCCCCCCACATCACTCCTGCATCACTACTGCATCCCCACCACATCACTACCGCATCACCACTACATCACTACTACATCCCCACCACATCACTACTGCATCCCCACCACATCACTACCGCATCACTACTAAATCACCACCACATCACTACTACATCACTAATACATCACCAATATACCACTACTAAATCACCACCACATCACTATTGCATCACTACTGCATCCCCACCACATCACTACTACATCAGTATTACATCACCACTACATCACTACTACATCACTACTTCATCACCACCGCATCACTACTACATCACTACTACACCACTACTACATCACCCCCGCATCACTACTACATCACTACCATATCACTACTACATCACTAATACATCACCAATATACCACTACTAAATCACCACCACATCACTACTACATCACTACGTCATCACCACTACATCACTACTACATCACCACCTCCTCATCATCTTAAAAACTGTTAAAACACTTTCACGGTCACTTCTGTCTGTTGTTGAAAAATATTGCATGCACAGCAAATGTACTTCTGTCTCATGTTTGTAGACAAAGTTCTCAGGGTGTTCCTCTCTTTCAGGAAGAGGAAGTGGACGATAACACTCTGACCATGGACAGTCCTGAGGTCAACGACTCGTCTCAGAGCTCTGACACTCTGGTCAGCAGCAACTCTGTCTCTTGACTTCATTTCTAATTTCTTTATTCCACAGTATGAGTGTAACTCCAGGTTCATTAAGATTGTGTTTTTCTGTTATAATTGTACAATTATACTATTGTATAATGTGTTATATTATACATTGTTTCATAACTTAATAAGATATCTATATTCCAGGGGATTCATTCGTCATCGGTATAATTGTGTCAGTAAAGACACAAAGTTTGACCTCTTTTGTTTGATGTGAGCAGGTGAAGGCTCTCCAGCAGGAGGTGCTGCAGCTCAGGGAGCAGCTGAGAAGTCGAGACAGAACCATCGCTCAGCTCACACTGCAGCTGGTCAGTGTCTGTGTCTAACAACACACAATGATAACGATAGCAAGACATTGTTTTTATTATTGAAAATATTATTATTAAAACCATCCCATCAACCCTGAGTCGGTTATTGTGATGTGGTTTATACATTAATACAGTCGTACAGTTACTGTTCTGTCCTGACACCATCACTCAGACCACAGTGTCTGTCTGCTGACCACACAGCCACCAGTGGTGCCCTCTGGCCCCTCTAATAACCGTCATCCTCGTGTGTGTGTGTGTGTGTGTGTGTGTGCACGGCACAGACTGTTCCCTCAGTGACTGCCGGCTGTGGTTGCCAGGAGACGACAGGAAAGATGGATCGACACACACAGACCGGTTTGATGGAGCGAGACAGAGTGAAGACGCAGGCGGTCAGGAGAGAACAGGTCAGAGGTCACGAACACACTTGCGTATCAAAATAACATCTTAAGGGATTACTTTTAAAGTTAAAACATTACTTTTAAAAGTCCTTGATTTTTACACCTGTGTTTGCTTCCTGTTTTTGAAAGGGAGTCAGGGTGGGAGGAAAATACAGTGTGTTTGTGTGTGTTTAGATGTTTCTAGAATTATTTTGTCCTATGTTTTTTTTTGTTTTTTTTGAAATGTTCAAAATCAGCCTCTTCATCGGCTTCTCTCCTCTCCTACCTTGTCCTTTTCCTTCCTCATGCCACTTCCTTGTTTCCTTTTTCTCAGGCCTTTCCTTTCCTCTCTCCTCCTTGGCAGTATCAGCGTTCTTCTCCTTACAGGGTGAGGGCCAGGCCTGCTATTCCCTCCCACCTGGCTAAAAGAAGTGAGTCACATGACTGCTATAGCCCCACCCCTGAGATCTCAGATCCTACCTCCACTGTCTTAGATCTTCGTCTGTCTTCTCAGGACACAGCTCAGCCAGTCTGTTAGATGTCATCTTCATTTCTCCTCCTTCCTTCACTCCCCCCTTTTCACCTTACTGTGTGGATGTTCATATGTGCTCGTCTCCTAACTCTTCCTCCTCTCTCCTCTTCTTCCCTTTGCTCTCGATGAAGGAGTGGAGAAACTGGTGCTTTATTTCAGTGACACAGCCTGGTACAGTAACACTTTGTCTCCTTTGTCTTCCTCTTCATGGTTCTCCTCACCCTCTCTTCATCTCCTTTTTCTGCAGTTATTTGTCCACCAGCAGGAAATATAAAAACAACTACATTATGACTAAAGCAATCTCTAAACAAAAGATTGGTTTTATTTTTGGTTTTTATCGTCATCTTCTTTTTAATTTTCTCTCCTTTGTTTCCTTTTTCTTTTACTTTTTCGCTCCTTTCCATGTTTTCTTGATGACTTGTATTCCATCCTCCACGTTATGAAGCATCCTTTGAGAACAGCCAAGCTGCAATGTTACCCCCCACCACTAGATGTCGGTGTTGACTTATATATGTGCAGAGGACAAAGCTAATGACTTTTAAAACACTTAATGACTTCATTAAAACACATTTAAAAGTAACTTAACTAACTAATTTAGAGATGACATGACGAAATCACAGGGTCTGTGTTTACCTCTATTCTAACCTGCGTTTGTCTGAATACAAACAGTTTAGTCTTAAAACCATCAATAATATCTGTGGATATATTTATCATTTATTTAATGTAGTGAATTTGTAAGAGAGCCCTGTACATGGTACATGGCGCATAGAAACTACCGAGTCTGGAATGGAGCACGCAAGGGAACTGCGTTACCCGCTGATTTCTTTTGAGCGTTCTTAAAATCTGTGGGCTAACTGTTTAACAAGCAAAATTGTACTAGTATTATTAGTCAAAGGGACAGAAGAAGACATGGGTTTTCCTTTAGAACTGTTTTGTCCTTTAGAACTGTTTTTGTTGCTAAAGAATTTAACGTGGACGTAGAACCTGTCACTGTGGATTAGTTTGTTGATGAAGTAATAGCGATTCCTTTTATGCTCAAAAAAACCATCCAAACTATTTTCAAACTTGGGATGTAAAAAAGTTAGTACCATCATTTCCAGCAGGGGGCACTGTTATCCCAATTTAGGTTAGATGCTTGTTTTCCTGATACTTTAAGAAGACAGTCAGAATTGTGTGTTGATTTTAACCCGCAGATGAGACGGTGTTTTTCAGCAGAGAGATGAAGGAAAACGTGACCAAAGATGAAATGTTTTCTCTGCTGAAAAATTCTACAGAACTATTAATAGTGAAATGGTGATGGAGCGCAGGTGCAGGAAGGGGGAGCCACAGTTTAATTTTGGGGCTCAAACCTGTGACATCTCCAGATGAGGTAGTAAATCAGATACATCAGTCCAGTAAAGAACTTTTTTTTTCTCCTTGTTGTCCAGTCACAGATACTTCACTCCACCAGTCAGGACCATCAGGACCTACTGACGACCCACATCTCCAGCATCACGCAGCACCACGCTCCACCTATCCATCAGACCACTCCTCCAGAACAACCCTCAGATTTATTCACAACCCGACCAACATTAAAAACAGCGCTTCCTGCTGCACACCCAGCTGGACCTCCAGACCAGGTTCTCCTCACAGTCCAAGCTCCACTTCCAAACCAAGATCTACTTAAAGCTGAAACTCCTGCAGCCCACCCTGCTCACACCCTCCAGGTCAACACTGGCTCTTTAGCTGAGGATGATGGGAAGACATGGAGTAAAGATAGGAGACTCCAGAAGATCTCTCCACCGTCCAAACTCCACCTTCTCCTCCCTCAGAGCTCTGCAGCTGCTCCACCTCCAAAGACAATGTCCTCCAGGCAGCCTTTGATGCCTCACAACCCAGAGAACAACATCAGGTCAGGGCTGAGGCCGAGAACCAGGGCCGTGACGTCCCGCCTCCCCAAACCCAAGAGTCACTGACAGAGATCTGACAGATGGTCCAGGCAGACTGTGGTCACTCTGACGTCCAGACCAGACCTCCTCCTCAGCAGAGGAACAAAGTGAAATTTATTTAAAAGTTATTTATGACATAACATATTTATGGGTAAAATAGTTACCCAAAATGAAACTTGATTTAACTTTGTCGTTTTCATACATCAAAAACACTCACATCGTCAACCTCTCAGACTTCATTTTTATAGTATAAGTAATACTATAGTAATCCTAACTAGATGTAGCTGAACTGCAGTTATCTTTGACATTAGAAACACAAAACTTTTGGTTAGGTTCTAGGCATAGTTGATAATAATAAGAAAAAACCCTGTCTTAGTTAGCTTTACTTGTTTAGGCTTAAACTTGCCTTCATGCTATAGCTAGCTGATCAAAGTGCAGGTAACATTAGCATGTAACAGTAGTCTCTCTTTTAGCTTGACTTGTTTTTAAAACATCAACAAAATTTTGCTACCTGTGAATTCAAGGCCTTCAGACGTTTCCTCTGTGAGTTTACTGTGACGTTTGCCGCTTTAAGGCTCATTTTGACCAACAGTTGCTAACTGACGCTACGTAGCAATAGCAGATGACTTGCCTACAGCACCTTTAAAATGACTACTCGGCACTAGTGAAGAAACTATTTTAATGTATGGAAAAAGGTAAAGATTTGAAGTGTGTTGGAGCTGTGAAATGTATTTAAATCAGCAGAAGAAGCTGAAGCTGTAGATACTTGAAATGAGATCAAATGTTGGTGTTGTTGTTTAATTCCACATCTAGAACTGAATTACAGCTGACGGTAATAAACATGAATGTACTTCACGGTCACACAGTGGAAGAAGTGGTTAAAGCTCATGCCTTACTTTAAGGTTTGATTCCTCGTTCTCTTTAAAGCAAGGGGTGTCAAACATACGGCCCACGGGCCAAATCAGCCCGCTAGTTGGTTTAATACAGCCCGCTTGATGAATTTTGAAAGTGAAAAAATGCACTCCAACTTCATGTCAGAGATGTTTTGTCAAATGACATTTCATTGAAAATGAATATTATCTAATACACTTGTTCTTATTTACATGAAGACTAAGGGTGAAAACATGTACATTTAGTTATTCACAGGTAATTATGTTACTGCTCTGGTCTGGTAGACTTGATAATCAGGCTGAATGTGGCCGCTGAACCAAAATGAGTTTGACACCACTGCTCTAAAGTTCACAGATCAAAAAGATGCACGACTCGGTTAACTGTTCACCCTCAGCTGACCACAGGTGTGAATGTTAGTGTGAATGGAACTGTCCAGGGAGCTGGTCCACCTCACGGTCTAATGACTGTTGGGGTTAGCTCCAGACACCACGCAGCCCCTGAATAGGATTAAGTAGTTGAATATGAAGGTCATAGCGCCACCTACTGGCAATTTTCTTCTGGTTTAACACTGGAAAAGGCCTTTATCTGGAACTCAACATCTCACTGTTTCCTTCCAGTCAATTCACTCGTCATCTGAGCTGCAGTTTCATCACGTTGGAGGCTGTCTGCTGCTGAGTGCAGATCAGATTGATGCAGATGTTTAGATTATTATACATGATGTCATTTATGATGGTGTGATGGTCTGGACGACCAACAGTTCAGTCCAGATGCTGCTGATTCACAAGGTGGCAGTGATTGTTCTAAAAGAGCAGCACTCTCTCCCCTGTGGGAGGGTTTGGTTTCAAGAAAATTTACTTTGACTTTGAGGAGCATCAGCAGCTTCAGCTTCAGCAGCAGCAGCATCAGCAGCTTCAGTTTCAGCAGCAGCAGCTTCAGCA